TTCCTTTTCTCATCCCCATCCCATCCCTGCTGCCGTCCTCGTCACATCCCACCCCTTCGCTGTCCCCCATCCCATCCCGAGCCGTGTCCCTGCCCCCCACCCTCATTCCTGTCCCGTTCCTCTCCCCATCCCCATTCCCATCCCCATCCCATTCCCGTCCCGGTGCCCACCCGTCGTGCACGGCCAGGCCGCAGAAGGTGCCGCTGCCGCCGGGGCAGAGCCGCGTCCCGGTGAACGTTCCCTTCTCGGTGCTGAAGACCCTCACGGCCCGGTCCAAGCAGCCCACGAGGACCTGGGCGGCAGCCGGGTCAGGGGGCCCAGGCGTCCGGGCTCCCCACGGCGGGGCCCAGGCGTCCGGGCCCCCCTCCCGGTACCTGGTTCTCGGCGGCGTCGCCCCAGCAGAGCGCGCACACGCCCTGGGCCCGGTTCAGGCTCCCGCCGCTCGTGAAGTTCGTCGCCTGTTTCCGCCGCAGGTCCACGCCTGCTGGAGGGGGGGGGGCGCGTGGATTTGGGGGGGAATATGGAGAAAAAGGGACCCTCCGAGCCGCCCCCCCGCCCCCGGTCACCTTTGAGGGCGCCCGTTTCGGCGCCGACCCACACATGGTAGCGGCGCGTGGGGGGCGCCATCTTGCTGCGGTCCTGCCCGCAAGGCGCTCCGGCTCGCCTCGCTTCCGGCGGCAGCTACGGGGCGGGCGCTGGGGAAGCGGCGGAGCGACCGGAAGTGGAGCAAGGGGAGGGGGGAAAGGGCGCGGGGGGGGGGGGGGGCAGCATTCCCAGCAGCCGGGATCCTGGATAACTTATCCGAGAAAGTGGAAAATTGACCCGCACCCACCCCTTCCTCTCCCTCTCCCCCAACCCACATAGGTCCCCCCCATGACTCAAAACAGGCAGAAACTGTCGATTTTAATCATTTATTCACGAATCTTTCGCACAAGGGGGGTGGGGCACAGGGCGCAACTCTGCTCCCTAGTTCCGGAATGACGTCCGCAAGGAGCAGCCCCAGTGCATTCAGATCCGGTTTTCCTGTTGGATACGACCCTGGGAAGGGGGAAAAATAGAGACTCGTTATATCCCTCTTATCCCTCTGGAAGCTCCCCCCGCTTGCCCCTTCCCAATCCCAATCCAAATCCCAATCCCAGGGCGGCCTCAGGGGGAACCACTCAGTCACAGGCATCAGACTGGGGCGGTATCGACTCATCCTCGGCTGCTCCGGACGCGGAGCCGGCCCCATCCGCACTCACCGGGCGCTGCTGCTGGCGCTTCCGACGCCTCCGATTCCTGCGGAGGGAAGAGCGGAGCTGTGGGAGCCCCTGCTGCCCCCCCAACATCCCTCAATATCCCACCCCCATTCCTCAGTTTTTCAGCTGTTCCGGTGTTTTCATGCCGGTCAAAGTGAGCTAGTTTCGCTTCATCACCAAAACTGCAGGGATTGGGCGAATCCGGGGAATTGCCCAAGCCCAGGGCGCTCACCTCCACGTGGGATCATCCGGTGCCACCGCTCCGAGCTTCATCCAAGCCAACTGTCAGCCGTGGAGGACTGAAACGGGACTGGAGTGAGTGCCGAGCTCCGGGGCTCCCAGAGCCCCTTCCCCAGCGGAGCATCAGAATCCCAGTTCTCCACATCAGCCTTCAGCCGAACGAGATTCCAGAGTGGATTCATCACTGCRCCCCAGCGGATCCCCTCGCCTGCCCCGGATCTGCCGCTCCGGCTGGGAGCTGCTCCACCCTCGGTAGGAAACTCACCTGGACATGCGGATTCAGTCTGGAGCTTCCCCATGCCGGCAGCAATCCCAACGCTGCTCCTGCAGGGATAAACACAAGTCACCGGCTGCCCACATCCCGGGAAAACGGGATCTGGGAGCCGGGATCCCCCTCAGACCGTTCCCACCGAACAGGTCGTCCTCCTCTCCGGCCGCCGGCGCCAGTGGGTTCAACCTTTGCAGGTTCTGGTGCCGAACGGGCAGTAAGACGCGTGCGGTTTTCCTCATGGGGGGGGGGCCCCACTGGGAATTTTATCCATGTAAAAGCAGGGAACTCACCCTTTCCCGGCGCTGCCTCCGCCGGGGCTGCGGGGGGAAGGAAGGAGGGAGAGGTGAGCGCGGGCGGCAGGGGGGCCGGCAGCGCAGCCGCCCCCCGGGTCCGATCAGGGCTTTGGTAACTCGGGGCTGCCATGCGGCCGGCGCCGTCCAGCTCACGGGGTCATCCCTTCGGACCGCGGGGTCCCGGCCCGGCGGGAGCGCCGGAGCCGCTCCGTTACCTGCGGCACGGCGGGCGGCTCCGGGGGCATCAACCTGAGGGGAGAGGGGAGCCGGTGAGACGGCGCAGCTCCAAAGACAACCCTAAGAGCCCCMAAATGCTGCCCTTTCCCCTCGCTCACCTGCGCTGGGAGAAGCCCAGGCTGCTTCCAGAGCTTTGGAGCAGGATGCTGGAAGAGGAGGAGGAGGAGGTTAACACGGAGCCGGGTGCCTGGGGCCCTGCGGTGCCACTCCAGCGCTCCGCGTTCTCAGCAGGAAAGCTGGCATCAGGGAGGCTCAGCCATATGCTTGTCTGTTTGCTCGTCACCGAACAGCAGGGAGCAGCTCTGCCCTGGGAGCCCACAGGGGAGAACCCCCCAACCCGGACAGCGTGCCCTTTGCTCCAGCCCCAACGTCCCAGCCAAGGAGGGGGGAACCCTAAGGCCACCCTCGAAGGGCTCCCCTGTCCCCAAGGCGAGCTGCGGTGCTCACCTGCAARGGAGCCGCGCGTGGCCATGGCTGAGCAGCTCCGCACCTGAAAGGACACGAGGAGACCGTTCGCAAGAGCAAGACACCCAAAAGGGGCACCCCGCCCACGGGATGTTCTTAGTCCAAGGGCTCAGCTCAGGACTGGATCCCGGTGCCACTCAGATTCCCATAGAGCCTTTCACCACTTGGCCATCAGAAAGAGAGAGTTCAGGGGTCTCATCCTGGCAGCACTTCAGCCCCAAGGTGTGGAGAATAAGGGCACTACAACATGTTAAGGGTAGTTCTACCACCAGGGTAAAGAGGCCCCAGGCTCTCCAAARCAGCAACAACTCACCTCTAGTGAAGGTTCTCATATGGACCACGATAACCTGGAAAATAATAGTAGAAAAAAAGACGATTAGAAACACAAAGAAAGTGCGGCAGTTGGCTAAGCATGGATRAAATCAGCCTCTTCATTGCGAGGGACTGAGGCCAGACAGGCTGCTCTTCTCAGAGCTATTGAGGGTCTTCACACAGCCGTCAGGTCAGGTCTGTGAGACTCATCACAGAACAGCCGCGGAGCCCGGAGGGCCACGGCCTTTTCCATGGGTGGAAACGCAGCGCGGGGCGCACGCATAGGGCCGAAACGGCCGCCGCCAGCACCGGCTCCCTAAGGCCGCCAGGCGCTCCGCAACACAGAGAAATAAGCGGAAAGGGGCACCAGGAGGGGCAGCCCACGAACAAAACAGGCAGTGAACCCACGAAAAGCAACAACCGACCGCACTCACCCTCCCCCGCCCGCGACAACGAGAAAATGGCCGAATAACGGCCGCCCGCGCGCTTAAATAGGCCGCCGCCCCGGGGCACGCTGGGAGAAAGACGCGCGCAAGCGCACTGCGGGCCTTCCCGTCAGGCGCATGCGCTGTGCAACGAGCGGCGGTGAGGGAAGCAGGCGGGAAAGGCACCGCGCAGGCGCAGTGAGGGGGAGGCGGTGCTGCACCGCCCTCCGGCTGCCATTAGGGCGCTGGCGGGAAAGGAGCCGCGCAAGCGCAGTAGAGAGGAGGCGGGCATAACCGTCGGGGGCGTGGCCATGTAAATATACAGTCGGGGAGGCTGCTGGGAGATTCAGTGGGGGAACGGTGTCGCCGTTTGGGCCGTACTGGAAAACGGAACCTGGTGTCGTGGGGGAGGAATGGGTGGGGAGCGGAACCGGGAGAGACCACAGTGGTCAGTGGCTGCGGGGAGGTSRTAACCGTGTCCTAGGGATATGTSGTGCGCGGGGAGGYGGCGCGGGGTCCCGTKTGGGGGCATCGCTTCTCGGCCTTTTGGCTAAGATCAAGTGTAGTATCTGTTCTTATCAGTTTAATATCTGATACGTCCTCGATGAGAGGACTTTATATTAAACGGATTTTTGGGCTTGGGAGTTGGATCCGGAGCTTGCTCCCTCCGCTCCGCGCATCGTCCCGGTATTGCAGTGCCTCCGGGAACGGTGCCCTCCCTCGGGAGGAATTTGCAACGGTTAAAAATAGATGAAATTGGGGTGAAAGTAGCAGGAACTGATGTACTTTGGGTTGTATTGCAGGGAAATGCCCACGGGACAAGGCCCGAGGCTTCCTAAAGCCGTTTGGATTCGTTGGGCCCTTAATTTGCATTTCTCAAAGCCTCCTGCAGCTCCCAGTCCCTTCCCAGAGCCTCCTGCAATTCCCAGTCCCTTCCCATAGCTCCCCGTCCTTTCCCAGAGCCTCCTGCAATTCCCAGTCCCTTCCCAGAGCCTCCTGCAGTTCCCAGTCCATTCCCAGAGCTCCCCGTCCTTTCCCAGAGCCTCCTGCAATTCCCAGTCCCTTCCCAGAGCCTCCTGCAGTTCCCAGTCCATTCCCAGAGCTCCCCGTCCTTTCCCAGAGCCTCCTGCAATTCCCAGTCCCTTCCCAGAGCCTCCTGCAGTTCCCAGTCCATTCCCAGAGCYTCCTGCAACTCCCAGTCCCTTCCCAGAACCTCCTGCAACTCTCAACCCCATTCCCATCCGACCTSGGCTTTCCAATCCTATCCTGGATCCAACACGAGCTTCCCAACCCCATCCCCATGGTCAAAAACAACCTGCTGCAACCCACAACTTGCTATGGTCAAAAGCAGCTGGAAGCGCGGGATGATCCCGGGTCGCTCCACTGGGATTCCCGTGGGGGCGGCGGGGGTTTCCCGGGAGCCCCGAGCGGGGCCCGCAGAGCTCCCGGTCCCGGCGCTCCGGGCGCTGCCGCCGGCGTCTCCCGGCTCCGGGTCCCGGAGCCTCCGCGGCAGCAGCTGGAGGAGCTGGGGCCC